AAATGAAATATCAAACCAAACCAAGCCTTTATAGTAGTGAGGTATCGAAATCGAACTGGTGTATTTAAGTGTTTTACACAGAGTATTCATATGGTTTGTTAATATAGAGCAAAGCCACACGGGGCCATCTGCTGTGTCCACCGCAGAGACCAGAACCCCGGATTTCAGCGGGGCACAAGAATCTTCATCTATGCAGGTCTTGTAAATCATCTACGTATGTTTTGAATTACTAAGAAAATTTTTTCTTCTTATTTTGAGAGCGACTTATAGTTGATCTGGTCATAAATGTTACTTTTAGTTTTAAATTCAAGAGATTGAGTATTTAAAATAAATTTGCTTTGCTAATGGATGATCGAAACAAAAAAAACGGATTTATAGCAGTTTTTATAATAGCGATTTCCAGTAAAATAAAATTTTCGTTGGAAAGCAACATAAGAGCTGTCTGCGCATATCTACTAGAGGGAAAGCAGCTAGTCAGTAGCCCCCCGCCCCACCCCTTCCCGCCACCTCTTGGACAAAATAGGTAACAACTTTCCAGAATATTACTGTATGAATGATAGCCATGCGGGCACATTTTCAACGGCTATAGAAACATTACAACCGAAACAATATCATTATTTGCTGTTCTTTAATTTAATGTTCTTTAATGTTGGAACGTTACATTTGATTACTTTGTTTTTAAAAGCAATATTAAACCAATTTATAAGAAACCCTACATCAGGAGACGACAGATAGATGTCGCTGGTTCAAGATAAAAGAGATCAGACAGGTGTAACTATATGTCGACTGTTGCTTTGTGTCTAAAAGTAAACATTTATCACATATTTGGAATAAAGAATAACAAAAACACTATTTATTCTTCGTAGTATACGTGATTTCTTTCACTATTTTCTAATAAATGATATAAAAATAGCAACAAATTACTGGGTGTAACGGGTAATTTAGTAAGTTTATGTTTTAAAACTTAATTCATTGAAGATATTTTTTAAACTTTACTAATATTTCCCGAAGTATTTTTCTGTGTTAAAGTTCAACTAGGTTCTCTAACTTCTCACTCAGAAAAGTCAGTATGTCAAAAAATGTCTTAGAACTTATCGAACTCTTACACTTTGAAACACGTTTTGTAGTTCAATCAAGTTTTAGAATTGTTTTCTCAAAACACGGAGTTTGGTTTAACTAAGTTTAAAAAAGGAACCCAATATTTTATTTTTTATTACTAATTTCTATGATGTATTCACAAAATGAAACATTTAAGCAATTTTTAACCTTTCGGATTGCACGCAGGTCTAGAGATGTTCATGAAATATTTACTTTCAGTACTGCCAAGGATGTTCACACTCGACTCCAACACTTACTTATTCCAGCATTCTTCGAGTAAATTAGGATCATCCGTAGCAATGTACACTTGTCTTTTTTCGATTGGCTGCTTCAATTCCAGCTGCTTATAATAGGTTTTTACATGTTCCATATATTCCTCTACTTTGTGGAAAGCTCCTTCGGACCACAGCTTGTCTGTTCGTCGCACATGGATCCTAGAAATTAAATTTTATAAGCATAGCACTAAAAATATAAGTGCTTGAATGCAGAAATGAACAAGAATAATAATTTGAAATTTCCCAAGTAAACCTAAATCATACATACTTTGTTTCAAATTAACATTCTTATCATTATTTGATAACGAACATAACTTATACATTCACTTCCTACAATACATCTTTGTCAGTGATCACGATTCTGTATAGTCTTAAAATAAAGCTAAAATACCATATTGCGAGTCGCCATAAGTATATAGTCCCACATGTAATCGTAACATAAATCAAAAATCAAATCAAATCTGGAATTGGAATCTTTAACTTGTAGCTTGTGCCCACGTTGGCTAAACTAGTAGGTCAGAGAATCTTAGAATTCAGGTATAGCCGTCTCCAATTTGAACTATTGGTCAGAAGGCGGCAGTGCCCGTTGGCGCAAGGGCTTAGCCCTGTTCTTTGAACCGAATAACTAGTTTATCTGTCAAGTTGAGAAAGTTGCTAAAGCTAAGAGTGTGGAGCATGTACAGCGGCATGCTAACCACTAAGTCACACATGGCCCTTTAAAAATTGTGGTTACCAAGTTTAATGCACTGATATCTCCAAAGCAAAAATATAATTCTTAGTTAATCCCAACCACACATTGATTATTATTTCGCATACCGTATGAGCAAGTATTTATGCTTGATATTAAAAAAAAAGTGATTTAAATAAAATTTCATATCAGTAGTAAAGATTACTTAAATTAGATCCAGAAGTAAAACCTATTTTGTAAAGGCAAAAAGAAAACATCCGGAAGGGTATTTTTTTTTATTAAAAATCGTCTCCTTCCACGTTCTATGACTGAGCGTAAGCAAAATAACTTTCTTAAGTGTAGCTGGCGTTCTTATAAAAAATGTGTCACATCTACCGTTAGTTATTGGAAAATATTCTAGAAAGTATTAGTAGACGAATAAGGAATAAAAGGGACATGATCAAGTTAACAAGTTTAAGAGAGAGATTGTGATTTAAACATAATCTATATCTACCTTCCCTATTGATATTTTTTATGAATATGTTTTGTTTTAATAATGTTAGATGAAGTCAAATGTGTTGACTTAAAAAGAAGAGATTCAGATTACAAAACAAAAACGAGTTTTCCAGTTCTGCAGTGATGTAGGGAATGGTCCTCTCTTAATTAAGCACAGAACGTTAGAAGTCAGTTCTATACAGACGATCAAGAGAGACCTAGATAAAGAGTATGAGAAGGTATGGGTAACTTACTTTCGAGTAGAAAACAAACAGCATTAAAGTAGCTTGAACAAAGCCCCCCATGTGATAACTGATAGGCACCACACGCTTTTTTTGCATATTTTAAACAAATTAATTTACTCATAATGAGTAGATTACTTACTCATGATTTGCGTATTAGGTTACATGTTTTACTAGCACGAGTAGATTTCGGTCCATCTCCTTATTATAATTAATTAAAATTTAATCATTATGTTCTTTTGCCACACATTCCAGATATATTACTTAGAACAATCAAAAGAGGAATATATAAGTCATGTTCGCTATATATTTCTTTTTAATAACTTGGTAACACGAGAGCTAATTTACTAAATAACCCTTTCTTATTGATTACAACATAAAAGACTAATAGTAAGTATACGTTTTAGCTTTCAAATAATTGCTTTAATATTTTTTCCCACGTGAACTAGTAGATACAACTATATTTGACAACATAATAAAATTTTTGGCGAATCTAAAATGGGGATCCCTGTGTTATCTGCGTTCAAATTTTGTCATATAGGTATTGCGTAACTTTGTTTCCTTTCATAAAATTATCGTCATACTGCTGACAAAATGGCGGAAGGGTCGATAGATTCGGAAGCAAGCCCTGGTGGTTATCAATTGAGGTAAGCCTTATTTAAAATAATTTTATTACATGATTTTCATAAAAAGATTTTGTTATATTTGGAAATGTGTTTCTTGGAAATAGAAGTAAAGAAAATATTTCCCATTTTAGATTTTTCTCGACTTTTAAAGTGTTGTTGACAAATGGTTTGAGATTCCAAAACAGTAAAAAATAGCTTTAAAGCAATTATTTGAAGGTTAAGGCTATTTTTTTTAGGAGTAATTGTACTGGTCTATAAGAACAACTGTTCGTAGAATAAGGAACATAGTTCTCATTCTTTCATCCCACAACTCCAAGGAAAGTTAGATAATAATCTTAAAAACAAGTTTTACCATCTGTTTAACTTCTAAAAAATAAATATTCAAAAAGTGTGTATTTACTCCAAATATAGGCTTTTGATTGAACGTTTAATATATAATTTTATTTAACCGCTTCTTAAATAGCACCTAAATGCGTACCCCACCACTGGAAGATTAAAGTCCACTTTTTTCTCTGCTTCTTTAAGAAACTTTGATAAGCTTTCTTGTGGACGTAGAAGGTATTTCAAAAACTGACCAATCCACCACACTATAGGATTGCTATGGAGACGCATAAATCTATCAGACAGGTCTTTAGGAATGACAGGAGGAAGGTAAGGAGGACGTGGATGAACTTCGTCAAGAATCGGTAAATAAATCACTTGGGCATCATTTGACTCTGAAAGGAGACAAAAACACATACATACATTTACTGAAAATATATTTTCGTAAGATACAGGGATTTAGTCAATAAAAAGCCAATCTTTTAAAAACAATCGTGCTAGGACTTCAAGTTATGAAAGTGATCACACGAGAATGTATTTGACGTGACGAATTTACTTAAAATTTCCGTGTTCCTTCCCTAAAATATCTTGATACTGATCATTTAAAAAAAACTAAAGTTGTACATTTGTGATTTTCCTTAAGTCTTATGTATGAAAAGAAAACAAGAAAGATGTATCACATCTTTTACTGAAACGTAAATAAGATCAGTATTTTGGTCTAAGATGCAAAACTCTAGTCACCAACAATTTAACCAAGTAACTATTCCTACCTGTCAGCACCTGTGTATTGGCGTTAAAATCACATTCGGATACTTTAACCTTCAAAACATTTAAACATAATTTTTGTAATGGACTTAAACCCATGATTTTAAAATTTCTATAAAAAAGTAGTTCAAAGATAAAAATAATTGTTATCCGTAATTGTATCCTAACATGTTACATTTAACTATATCCCATCGTAACACTCTATCTTAATTAACATGTTACATTAATATCCATCGTAACACTCTATCTTAATTAACATGTTACATTAATATCCATCGTAACACTCTATCTTAATTAACATGTTACATTAATATCCATCGTAACACTCTATCTTAATTAGAATCCGTTTTTCATAATATTTCTTCTTAAATGTCTACATGTTATATTTAGCTATATATCATTCGGTTGTTATGAAGCACAATGCTCCACAATGAGCTAGATATGCTTTGCCTGCCACGGGTATCGAAATCCGATTTTTAGCATTGTAAGACTGCATTCTTACCGTTGAGCCATTGGGGAACTATATATTATATCATAACAAACTAACTTAAGTATGTGAAGTACGTTTTAATATTTCTTGTTAAATGTCTACGTGTTACATTTAACTATATCGTATCATAACAATCTAGCTTAAGTATGTGAAGTTTGTTTAAATATTTCTTGTTAAATGTCTACGTGCTACATCTAACTATATTGTATCTTAATAATATAACTTAAGTAAAAAGTCCACGTTTTACAATATTTCTTGACACTCAAGTGACCGTGGCAATAAGTAAAATGATAAAATATTCTGCCTAGTGCGCTAGCAATACGAAACTGATAAAAAAGGACATGCTTTATGAACTTTTTTGATATACTGTTTAAATAATTAATTCAACAAATTATTTACTGCTATGACAGAGCAACATAAAATTCATAAAAACCTAGCTTTTAGTTTAGCAGAAAAAACAAAATATGCTCGGTCTTTACAAATATACTCGAGAAACTTGAAACACATTAAACGAAAATTATTATTGCACGTGATTTTAGATTTCTATCTATGCGTCTGTTTATCGCGTAAAAGTTGTTAAATCTTAATTATCTTGTCGCTGTTTACAATACGACCACATAGATTACGGAATTTTGAACTTCGCTTACCAGTTCATTGATATTCGTTCATACACAGTCGATATAATAAGCTTTAATAAGCTTTATGACCTTAATAAATCATTATAAACAAACCAATTTCTTTATTTTGCTTTTGACCCACAGACAGTCAATGAAATATTTGTTATAAAAATACAAAATTAATGACCTTATTATGTACTTTTCAACTGAATTAGATTAACCGTACTTGATTAACTTCTTGAGAGAAAAGTGGCAACAGTGAATGAATCATTTTGATCAGCTCCTGCTTGTAAAACATTTCAACGAAAACAAAACTCGCGTATGGTTATGGCTCGTGACATTGGCACAGTACAAAACTGCCATACGGCTATAGCACGTGATGTTGACATTTTTAGTACAAAACTGGCATATGGTTATAGCTCGTAATGTTGGGATTTTTAGTACAAAACTGGAATATGGCTATATCTCATGATGTTGGTATCTTGAATACAAAATTAATATACGATTATAGCTCGCGATGTTGGCATCTGCAGTAAAAATTGGCACATGATTATAGCTCATGATGATGGCATCTTTAGCACAAAAAATTTAGTTTAGATAACTATCAGATCTTACCATTTGGATTTTCTCAGAGATATATACAGACGGAATTTATACCTGACCAGTTAGCTCGAGAAACCCCGTATTCATCAGTACAGTTGACACTGATTGGCTGAAACATCGCTTCCCAGCCTTCTCTTGAGTATCTCCAGTTTTTAGATCGCAAAATTAAGGTCCGCTGGGTTCCATATGCTACAATAAAACAGTATACCGCATGATGAATCTGGCACCCGAAACCACAGTTTTTATCGATGTCACACACTAACTTATTAGTCTTGCTGCAGTCCTTGGGATTCTAAATGTACAAACATAAATATATAAAGAACCTTTATTGTACGAACTATTACAAAACCATTGTGAATTTCTACGAAATTAGAATAAGATTAAAGAGAAGAAAAACGTCCATCAGACTGATGGTTCTACAAAATAAGTTTCGTTATGTTTGTATACCTGCTCATAACGAGTACATCAAATACATTACGATACTCATTGTACTCCTAAGTATCTTTTATAATTCAAAGTCTTGACTATACCATTATGTAAATATATGATCTTATGTTTGTTTTATGCGTATTAAGGCCCAAATAAGCCAGTGTTTTCTAATAATACAAACTGACTAAGCTCAAATCAAATTTTCTCCAACTGATACTGGAAGATAATTCATAGAACAACTAGAATACTAACCTATTATTCGCTACTTAGGGTTAGGTCGAAGCCTTTCAACATCGTTATTCTTACCAGAAACTGGTGATAGAAGTACTTGCCGAACTTTCAGATAGCAATTTGCATTAACAATGGTGAAAAATTAAATGGTAGCAGTAATACTGTCTATTTTCTGTTTATCTGCACTACAGTAGGCCTAGTGGTTAGAAAAATAAATAAATTAGTAACTAAATGAATAAATCCCATCCAGAGGCGTCACTAGGCGCTGGCACTAGCCCGTGCCCCGATTTCATTTAACAATGCCCCGAATCCCCAGTTGGCGTCTTGATATCATACTAAACCGCCGAAAATTCTTGCCCCTATGGGCTCTTGCCTCGAATCTTTTAAGTTCCTAGCGACACCTCTGATCCCATCCTTTAGATAAAACTTGAAGAACGAACTTTATTTTGGCAGGAATTTAAACCTTCGTAATCTAATAAGTTAGATTTTGTCCCTAAATGTTTGTATTTAAACCCAAATCGAGATGTATATTATGAGATTCTAACCTAAAAAAAAGAAAAATTTGTCCATAGATCTTTCTTTCTTATTCTTAGAATCTCATAATAGACATCTCGATTTGGGTTTTTATGTTAAATTCCATCATTGTTATATAGTGCTGATTTGACCTCATATATACAACTGATGAATTTATAGTATTATAACTATTTATTTATAAATACATGTGTATGTGTGTGTGTGTGTAGTTTACGAACGTGACACTTAAATTCCATCTGACATTTTCTTTTTAAATTGAAAGCAACTTTGACTTTCATTTGCAAAGCTGTGATTTCTTCGAATATATATAGTTTATTTATTGTTTGTCGAAGACGTCTTGAGATTTTTAAATAGATGATGACTTGAAAGCTTCTTATATTTGTGAAAAACTAAGACATAATTATTGATGTTCTTTTTACAGCGTAGTGGACAGGAAACATACCTGCAGATATCTAAGTCTCCGCTGGACCAGATCACTAAGTTCTTGGGCTTCTTTTTGTCTCCAAGTTTCCATGCCATCTACTTCCTGGAGTTTTTTTAAATCCAACATAAGAGACCTACATAAAAAATACGTATCGTTACAAGGCCGAATAGGGTAGCTCAGTAGTTTCTAGTGGGTTGAGAAACGCTGCTGCTAACTGGTACACGTATTAGCATTAATATCCCATTAAACTAGCATTTTATTTATTAAGATTTGTAATCATATAATAACCTTTATTTCATATTAACTTCGGAAAACCTTTAGTAACACTTAAGCCTAACTTCTTTTTTAAATCGTTCGTAATAGAAATATACAGATATAGTAATTTTTATGAAGTACGAAGTTTTTTATTCTTATGTTATATTGTTCTATATAGTTTGAAGTGTTTAAACTGAATACGCCAAATCACTTTATAATGTCAGCTAGTTCATTTGTTTGTTTTTGAAGTTAAGCACAAAGCTACACAATGGACTATCTATGCTCTGCCCACCACGCGTATCGAAACCCGGATTCTAGCGTTCTAACCCCGCAGACATTCCGCTGTGCTACTGGAGGGGCAAGTTCATGTGATTGCTGTATTGAGTTAACGTGTTATTTATACTTAACCAATTAAATTATTTCAACTTGGTTGATTAAAATAGTAAATACAAAAAAACTACTCTAAAACACAACATTGGTGAAATTAACTGTGTTATTATCCACGTATCTATTCAACATCTTAAAAGTTCTCTTATGAATAAATATATATATATATATATATATATATATACA